CTTCATAATTTTTTGCGCGAATATGAGTTGAACAGAAAAAGAAGTGAAAATCAATTAGCAAAGTAGTAGTTCAAGGCGGACTCTAGATTAAACCGGTATAACTGTTCCAAGGTATTTTCCAACCCAAACTCCATACCATGAGTATCCATAACCGCTTCAGAAGAATAAAATGCTTTGGCTGGCCGAATCACATGATTGCCACCAAGGGAACCAGCCCCAAATACTGGTATGAAAAGAAGAAGAAAGAGAAAAGGAAAAGGAAAAGAGAAAAGAAGAAGAAGAAGAAGAAGAAGAAGAAGAAGAGAAGAGAAGAGAAGAGAAGAGAAGAGAAGAGAAGAGGAAAAGAAGTAAAAAAGTGATCATAGCGAAATGATCAAGAAGATTGAGATGAAAGTTTCGATCAGGCCTCTCTCGCTGGTGTTGTAAGGGCGATTGCTTCTCCATTGGCTTAGGCTCGGCACTATGAGTGCCCGATGGTCTTCTTTTAGCTACATTCCGATGAATTGGAGTTGCATCCGATCGAAACTGGCTATTGTGGCCATGATAGCTCCTCACCAACAACAAAACATTGCCGTATATCTTTCGTGTTTCAGATAGATACATTCTGGCTGGAGATATGTTGTCGTCGATATAAGACCCAGGGCGAACCCCTTTATGTCACCTTCAAGGCCGAACTGGTTCGAACTGTCGAGTCCGGTCCATGAGCAGCAGAATACTGCTCTCGTCGTTTTTGCGGCAGATATTGCAAGCCGATTGGACCGGAAGCCGTTCTTCCCAGTGAGTTGTGAAAGGCCAATTTGTTTCTTCAGCTCCTTCGGCCCAGCCGGAAATATCTGTATGATAGTTCCATCGGCCCAGCCGGTATGATCTGGTTGGTAACCTCATCGGCCCAGCCGGTATGATCAGGTTGAAAGCCTCATCGGCCCAGCCGGAATTATCTGTATGATAGTCCCTTCGGCCCAGCCGGTATAACCTGGTTGATAACCCCATCGGCCCAGCCGGTAAAAATGAATCTGATAATGTCGTCGGCCCAGCCGGAATAATTCCAAGTGTAGTTTGCTGGGTGCTCCGGGTCATCGGGTGGAGGCCTGTCAGGCTAGGTTTGGCCTCACGAGGGTGCGACTCGCGCTCCTCTCGGTTTTGGTTCCCGAACCGCGGCTTTGTTGATCTCAATGAAGGCGGGTTGACAGGCAATTGTACTCCAGGATACTCAAGGGACCAGTTATGCAAGCCATGACAGGTGTTGCTTGATATGTCCGATGAAAAGAAGAAGGGAAAAAGAAATAATAGAGAAGAGAAAATAGAGAAAGGAAAAGGAAGATAATAGGGAATAGCAAAAAACAAATAACAAGATCAAGCAATGAAGATAGGAAATAACATAGGAAAGCAAACAAAAAAGCAGACAAAAAAAAGCAGACAAAAGAAAAGACAAAGGAAAGGACAAAGGAAAGGACAAAGGAAAAGACAAAAAAGGAAATTAGAAGGCGATGTTGAGCCTGATGATTCAATTTTTCTGAGGGAGACTTGAGCCCAGTTATATAAATTTCTGGTTGGGGATACTCCTTCATTTCGCCCAGGCATGGAGGTGAGTCTCTCGTCCATGTAGGCGCGGCGCTCGCTGTCGTGAACGGCCCCGCTGGCTCATTGCCGGCTCCCATCGGTGTCATCAACCTCCATATTTGGGTGCCCTCGACTATCAAGTCGACCAGGGCCGGGTCTCAGCCCCTGCATTGGTGAATGGTGTGGTCTAATGATAGCTTCTCTTACCAGTCGGCCAGCTCGCATCATAATCGTTTTCGCGTCTTTCCCGGATATATCAGAGCCAACATGTTCGATGAGCGACAACATCCTGAGTCCGCTAGGCGCCTTACGATCGGAATACATGGGGGAGGCATGGGTGAGCCCTTGATAACTACAACAACACATTGAAGCCAGCCGTCTATTATGTTTTTGCATGAGCCTCGGACTCATTATCAGCATACACCTGCATGCACAAATAACCATTCGGCACCGTTCAATCAACAAGAACGCACTGGAATGACTCGTGAGGGAGGTTCAAGGCGATCCCACCCGCGACTGAGCTATTTATAGATCCTCATCTCACCACGGAGGCTCCCCACTTCGGAAGCAGTCTTCTAATTTGGCTTCCCCTTGCCGCGTTCTCCAACGGGTATCGACATCTAGGGTCTAAATTTATTACCACCCCTGTTACGACTGGAGGGCATCTTCAATCAGATTGAAGCGTGTTTTTAATCAGAAACTCGGAGTCTATATAATGAATTATAGATCCTTACCTTGTCATGGAAGCATTAGGTATTGAAGAGGACTGGTTCCGAGTGTGTGTATGATCCTTCTAGCAGGCTTAAGAGGTAGCTTGTAAATTAGAGCTAGACCTCTAAGGTAATCAAGCTAAACGAGATATTACGAAGTTTAAGCTATTAAAGATACTAAAGGTTATATGCGTGATGCGAATAGTATATTAGTCTTAAAGTTAAAGGTAGACGAAGTAGAGAAGAATACAGCGAGCCGGGGTTACACTCAGGCCAACAGCTAGAGTCAGCGATGTTATGCTACGATTGCGTAGTATACTCAAATGAGTGTCTATGATTTCACGATCGTCGACAAGGCTATATCCAAGTTGCCGCCGCTAGGTAGGATTATTCTAGTGTCGCAGGAAAGGTATCCATCCAAGTCGCTTCAGGCTTAGGATTTATGAGGAGGGTCGCCTACTCATTGATACAGTGTGTTAAGTGAGCAGCGCTCTCTTCAGTCTAAAGCGACCAGACTTCCCTCTCCGTCCTCAGTATGTCTAGCCAATCAACATGGTCTCTTGCGCTGCTGACCTCATCGATGTGAGACATTCACTGGCATTCATCTCGATACGCTTGACTCCGCATCGAGAAAGTTCTTCAAGACGTTGAATCCAGAATTCAGAATTGCCAACGTTGGGGACTGTACCCAGATGGGGAAGATGCGGGAACACCAGCCTGACGGGCGAGTTCACCGAGGCCAGATAGGTGCGGATAGTCAGTATGCTTTCTCATATCGGCGGTAGCGACTGGTGGCTGCTTGCTGCTTAGGATAACAAGGCTGAATTCGGAATTTTGAGTCAACTGTGCCAGGGCTGCCACCAGATCCCCCAGCGGCAGTGATGCCCCAGACGTTCCCGTACTCTCTATATCGGCAAAAAGTGGTCGAGCAGTCTCCAAGGTCTCTCTGAAAAGTGACAGTGCACATAAAGAATGACCGTTGTAGATGCCAGCAGATAGGAGCCGGCCAAGGAACCCCCCCCCTCCCCAAATTAACTCGCTGCTCCCTATTGTAGCTTTGCTGGTAGTATTTCCTGGTAAACTCCTCAGCAAGATCTGAGAAGAGTAAAGGTAGCTCAGACCAGAGCGTGGAGCCATCCGAAAAGGTGGTGGGTTCTCGGGCCTTGCCAGCACTCTAGTCGACGTCATCTTCAGATGGGCGTTGTTGAGGTCCCAGGGTTGTTGTGGAAACGAGGTAACGTAAAATACTATCTTGGAGGAAACTGTACGTGCTAACGTTCTTACCCGCCTCGATGAGGATGTACCATAGGCCATGGAGTTCATTCTCAAAGATACATCCTGGATCGGTGGTGTTCATAAACCGATATGTCGTCCTGTGGATATGACTGCGTATCGTCAAGCTTAGAGAATCCCCTTGACCCTGTCGGATAACATCATCAATATCAGCCCTCAGCTGTACAGAGTATGGCATAAGAAAATTCATTTCCCGGATAAAATCAGCCTGGATGAATATGTGGAGAGTGGGGAAGAAGAGTAAATTGTAATTGAATATCGGTGGGCGGCAATTACTGTTAGGTAGATCGGGAGTATAGGTACAGAATGCCAAGAAATATTCAATTGCTCCCTAATGCTAGGCCATTACGTGGCAATGGTAAGGCGTAAACGGCTCGCGCAAGTAACCGCTGCCTACCTCATGCAACGTGCTGTTGGTAAGACAATAACGCCTATCCATCATCCGTGTTGCAGGTGGATCAAAGATGGCTCCAGCTTACAGAGAGCAAGAGGGCGTACCTACCCTACACCTCCCCGCTGGAGACTGCGCAGGGTAGATTTGCCCCTTTGTCATGATACGTATGTTAATGAATGATAAGTCGGTAGAGACGCAGAATTACTCTGAATTCAATTATAAAAGTCCGCGAATTGATTCATTACGAAAGAACACAGGTAAACGCTGCCTGTCAACTCCTGATAGTACTTTATGGGGTTTTGGCTGATGTGAAAGAGAACAGTTTGACGTTGCAGTCGACCGTGTGATTTCCATATAAAAACACTCACGTAATTCGCCTTATACCTAATATCTTCTTTTTTTACTACGTTTTTCTTTTTTTTCTTTTTTCCCGTTATCTTCATACGATTGCTAAGGCCAATATAATCGCCGATTTCCCGCACGTAAGACCGGAAGCGAAATGGGGATGTAGCTTTGTATATTCTTGGCATTCACCTGATCCGGGCCTGTCAGCCTGATTTTAATAAGCATTTTGCTGTGGCCATTTCTTTATTTTCTCATTCGTCAGAGGCGAAACGGTTCCATCATGCCTGGGCTGGGCACACACCTGCGTCCCTGCACATCACGGCACGTGAACGGGGTGGCGCAAAACCAACGTCAGAATTATAAAATTTTAAACTTCAATAATGTGTTGCGCTGATGAATTTCATTTACGTTGGGCACTCTGTAGAGAGTGTCACCGGTCACTCTTGTGTCACAAATTCAGCCTTGTGCTGACGGTATAATTCACTTTATCGAGCACGTAGATTTGATGAGAATGGTGGATGTATTGCTAAACTATCCGGGGACCTTTAAGCAATCCACCCGAAACAACAGCTACCATTTTATGAGCTGCTAGTATCGGAGACCAGATGGGAAATAACGTATGGGGACTCTTGTGCTTGGCGGAAATATTTGGAGCGCCTCGACTCCCAAGAAGATGCTCCCATTCCAGTTCAAGGTTCTCACTTGGAGTTGAACTTGGCATCAAAGTCCTTGATGGTCTGATCGGCTTTGACGGTGTACACAGTATCCCGAGTACTGGTGTTGGTTGAGCCGCCGTTGGGGCTGGAGCCAAGAGATCCGGAGCTAAGCCTATGATTGGGCGTATTGTTAGTCAAGGATGAACGACTTGAGATGAGACAGTGATTATTGCAGGACGTACTTGGTCATTTTTGCGAAAATGAAGTAGATGATAATATCGTAAATTTAGTAGTGGTGTAAATCGCGAAGGTGAGAATTGTTGTGAAGATGTTCTGAAGACTTGAGCAGTGTGAGCTGAAGAGTGGTGATGAAAAGGATGTTGGATGTTGAGATAGATGGAGAGGATGGTAATGATATTTATACTTTAATCGAGATGTGGAAGAAGCCTAGCGAGCGATTTCTAAGTCCATTTCTTTCCGGCCCCAAATGTGGCGATGACTTCATGTTCACTTTTTCTCACTACGAAACATCCCTGGGTGGGTCAAGTCACGATTGTGTGCCAGGCTCACAAATGCGCGACTATCCAGATACGGGGCTTAGTGAATGTCCCTTCCAACAAGCGGATGGCACTTAATTGAGCTCACAATGGTGATCGTACTCTTGATTTGGGACTAGTGACGAGGTCCGTTTCATCCGCAAGATGATGAGCCACGGGTCATACGGGAGACAGGGCCATCGTCCGTCATAAATTCCTAGATACTTGTATACAATACAGCAGAATTTGGCAGTATACAAATAAGGTTTCAGCCCTAAAATCCCTGTGGCTTATTTCAACCGGATTACACCACACCTATGTGGAAACTTAAAGCGTGTCTGGGTGGCATTTGGCAGCTCACGTGGAGCAGCACAGACGCAGGAAATCTGAGCCACCACGCTAGGAAGCCGTTACACAAAAGAAGCAAACGAATCAGGGCCGTGAGAAAGATTTTGACATCGTATTCGGCCCTGTTCGCCGGTGTCAGCTGCGACGGAGTGAAGGGAAAAAGGAGCAAATGTGGCATAGGCCTGGCCGCAGCAGAGAAGACGCCTGCCAATCGTTTCAGGGAAGAAGGAAAATCAGTGCTAGGAAACTAGGCAGCACTCTATCAGACGGACATGACAAGATGGTTCGCGTACCAATCTGCCTCACAGTTTCATCCACTAGAATCGATCCGGAAAGGCGCGTGAGGCAGACGTGACATGACATGAGGGGAGGCTCACCTCCAAAGAACAACTATGATGATATGGACGGAAAACACCGCATCATCACAATATCTTAATACGGGGGGGAGGGTCTGGAGGCAGAAAGGAATAGACACGAGGGAAAATGAAGTTGGTAACTCACATAAGCAATATCTCAGGTGGATGACAGGGTTTTGTCAGAGCCTTGATCCTACCCCGCTCAACAATGTAACAAAACAACACAATTGGCGAGAATATCATAAACAGACCCTTTTTCTGGACCAATTCTTCCGAGCTAACAGGGATTGAAGACAAAATCGCCTAGTACAGTCCAAAGGCGGCTTCTAGGGCAGATTGATATGAATTTGAGACAGGAGAACAAGGGAAAAGCGCTCGTCTGGGCCTCGCGCCGCGGCCTGCTAGAGCAAGTGTGCCTTCTCCTTCAAAATGGCCCAAATGACGTCGCCCTGAGACAGGTCGATGAGTGGAGCTTCACGCCCGCGCATCTTGCCGCCTTCTATGGCCATCTGGAGGTGGTGAGAGTGCTGGTGGAAGCAGGGGCAGATCTCGCCGCAAGAGCGAGGGCAGGAGTGACACCCCTCCACTGCGCGTCCATGCAGGGCCACAGCGAGATAGCAGAGCTTCTCCTGACTGCAGGATCTGACGCGTCTTGGGCCGATGACGAAGGGCGTCCTGCATCGCATAGCGCCGCCTCTGATAACCACTGCGACGTTCTGGACATCCTGGTCGCTGCGGGGGATGACCTTGCGAGAGTGGATAAAAATGGGAATTCCATACTTCACGCAGCTGCCAGTGGTGGTGCTCGCGAGGCCTTTAGTATGCTCGTTCGCACACGAGGCGATTCTCTTCCCTGGCGGAACAACACCGCTTGGACGCCTTTGCACAAGGCCGTTGTCGAGTCCTCGTTCGATACGGTGAAGCTCATCCTTGAGGTGGCAGCCGGTAGCCAATTCAAGGACGGACATTTCGACATTGACAGCCCCATCTCCGACGATGGTGCTTCACCTCTTATACTGGCCGCTCGTCGTGGGAGCCAGAGCGTCGTTGAACTCCTCCTCAACCACGGCGCCAACATCCACGCTACCGATCAATGGCGGTGCACTGCTCTGCATTCAGCAGTGCATGCTGGACATACCGAGATAGTGCGGACTTTGATCCGTAGAGGCGCTGACGTCAATGCAAAGCATACTGGCGGCGATGGAAGCATTGACGGTGAGTATGGGATGAACGCCGTTCTAGATGCCGTTCATTTCGGCCATATTGAAACTCTAGAGGTTCTTTTGGAAGCGGGAGCCGGTATATCGGATACGGTCACAGCGGAGGGGTATACAGTTTTGCATGTCGCGGCCTACAAAGGCGACCTCGCGTTCCTCCGGCTGCTACTCAAGATGAAGCTTCCCATGGGGGTCGACTCGGCGAGCTTCGACGGAACAACACCCCTCATTATTGCTACAGGTGCTGGAAGGCTGGACTCTATTCGTCTGCTTCTCGACCATGGCGCCGATGTCTCCATTGCAGACTACGCAGGCTGGACACCACTGCACTGGGCCGCTAACAGAAACCACCCACATGTTGTAAGGCTTCTAATAGATTGTGGCGCAGATCCAACAATAGAGTCAGCCGATGGGGACACTCCGCTGTCAATTTGCCCTTTTTCCTTGGAAGGCAAGGACCTGGAGGATATGCAAGGGCTGCTTCTCGCGGCTGAGCGGGGATGGTATGAGCGAGATGCCAGCAGAGACAGCTTAAAGCAGTTGCTATCGGCTGCGAGATCAGGCAAACTGGATTCTATTACTTCTCTCTTTGAAAAGGGGCAGGTCGACGCCAACTCTGCGGACGAGGACGGTTACACAGCTTTGTTGTTCGCCGCAGAGGCGGGCCAAGATGCTGCTGTGAAGCTTCTCATCGGGCTGGGTACTGAAATTGAATCAAAAAACAACTCTGGAGAAACCTCCCTTTGGTTGGCTGCTCATTACGGCCACGGTACGGTCGTTCAGACGCTGCTGGAAAGCGGAGCTGATCCCAACTCAGCAGATGAGCTTGGGCAGACACCAGTCTCTGCGGCTGCGGAGGGTGGACATCTCCAGGCAGTGTCGAGCCTGCTCGCAAGAGATGCCGACATCGACATCAAAACATGCTATGGAAAGAATGCGCTTATGTTTGCGGCAGAGAACGGGAATGATGCCGTGATACGCACATTATCATCACACAAGGAGGGGTCTAAATCAGCCTTCGACTTATCTGATATGTCGGCATCCCTGGTGCAGGCAGATGAGTTTGGCCATTCTACAAAGAAGATCCCCAGGATTAAAGATGTTGAACCGGGTACGGAAGTCAGAGGAGACAATATTGTCGACGGGGCCAGCGAAGATGGGAATATCCACGCTACTGGCGGTACGGGCGCCAGTGCTAAAGCCTCTGAGTCTAACACCCGCGGTCCTGACGAGGGTGATTTTGGAACAGAGCTTGTGGAACTGGCAGAGAAAGGCATGAGAGCAGCAGTGGTGCGCCTCATCGAGGTCGGCCATCCAACGGATAAGATGGACCGACGAGGCTACCTCGCATTAAACACAGCGGCAGTGAATGGACATGTGTCGATGGTCCGCACCCTCCTTGATCGTGGCGCTGACCCGAACCTCAAGGATCGGCTGGGAAGAACAGCTATCTGGTGGGCGGCATATAACGGGTGGTATGAGGTGGCGAATGTTCTACTTGATGCTGGTGCCGACTTGAACATTACAGACCATGTATTGCAGCTCTCGCCCTTGATGGCGGCTACATATCGCGGGCGAGCTAAAGTCCTCAAGCTGCTCCTCTCGGGAGGTGACAAGGAGCTCACGGAGAAGCATGGCTACTCTGCTTTGGGCCTGGCAGTTCGCTTCCGACACATCGACGCGGTTAAAATCCTGCTTGAATCCGGAGCCAATGTTGAATACGGCCCTGACCCAAGTCGGACCCCGTTGATCGATGCGGTTGAGCAAGGGGATACAGAGATAGTAAATCTTCTTCTAGAAGCCGGAGCGACGATGCAGACTTCAACAGATAATCGATCGCCACTTTGTATAGCCGCCCAACGTGGCTTCGAAGATGTGGTAGCACTGCTCCTAAAGCACGGCGCGAAAGTCGATCATGTGACAGTTCACAAGAGGACGCCGCTGTTTTTTGCGGCTGCCACTGGACACGGGATGGTCGCCAGGATGTTGATAGAGGCCGAAGTCTCGCAGGTTAGTCACAAAGATGAGAATGGTTTGACCGCGCTATCGTGGTCCAAGATGCAGGGTCATGAGGGCGTAGCTTCTGTCCTGCGCCATGCATCTCGAGTCAACCATGATTCTGGGGTTTGGTCAGTCGCCTCTGATATTCCAAACCGAGGATGCTATTCTTACGTACCGCTCTCCAAGCCGGGCTGCATTCGCCTCATAGACCTTCATCCAGGGCAAAAAGCTGACGCTCTATCGTTTGATCTCTATGAAGCGAACCTTGACCATGAACCCTCATATACAGCGCTATCATACGAGTGGAAGGCTAAAACTGGCACCATCCCCGTGTTGTGCTGTGGCAGGAGTCTTCTCATAACACCCAATCTGAAGGCGGCGCTGCAAAAGATCAGATCGCAACAAAAGGCGCGGACACTATGGGTCGATGCTGTCTGCATCAACCAAGAAGATGTCGAAGAACGCACCAGCCAAGTGCGACTGATGACCAAGATATACAAAGAGGCCCAAGAAGTGCTGATGTGGCTCGGCGAAGACAGCCCCGAGGTCGCGGCAGCTTTTGCATCTATCCCTAGAGTCCTAGATGCATGGGACCAGCTATCATCAGTTGGATTTTTCACTTATTCGCTATCATCAGACGTACAGAAGGCTCTTGAAGCTCTCGATCTATGCAAGAGGGTCTTTGGCTCGGCAAATGGGGGAGGGGCCTACGATCGTAAGGCGGCCAATGGTGTGACCGATCTTCTGAGCCGTTCATACTTCACAAGGGCGTGGATATATCAAGAGCTTATCTTGGGCGGAGCCCGAGGGACGGTCCTGTGTGGAGAGCTTTGTGCTCCGTGGAGAGATTTCCACCATTATATGGCCATGTGGGCGGTGTTTAACGGCGGCGAGCAGCCAAGGGGGCGAGATATCATGATGCTTATTGCCAGGACCCAGGAAATGGCTACCAGGGGAGGAATCAAGGACATGGGCTCTGCTATCCAGATCCTAACTCATCTGAATTGTGGCGATCCAAGAGATAAAGTCTTCGCTGTATTGGGAGTCGTAGACTCCGACTGGTCAGGCCAGCTGGCTCCCGATTACAGCCTCTCGGCCCAGCAAGTGTACATCAACGCGGCCAGGGTCATGGTTCGCACTACGGAGGGACTCGGCTTCTGGCAGGGCATCAACTATCCTGCAGCCAACAAGATCCCAGATCTGCCGTCCTGGGTTCCAGACTGGACTTGCATCAGCGCTAGACATAGAGAGCTGGACGACGGTGCGGTCCTGCCTTGTCTATTCCGCCAACCCGTCGGGCGGGCGATTCCCTCGCTTCTGGGCAGCCAGTTCCACTCGACCGGCACTACCCTTCACGCGAACGGATACGTTCTTGGAGAGATTGCCTTCAGCGTGACTATGAGGACCGGCGAAGATATCTATGATCACATCGTCCGACCACTCGCCGAGGGTCTAGCTCGCTCAGGACGAAGCATCTTCGACAGTTGTTCCTTTACAGAGGGGCTTTCCTACCTCTCAGTATTTTGCCGCTTCCTTCATAGATCACAGGGCAACGAAGAGATTCAAGGGGACCGGGGGTATTCTTCAGCCGAGGAATTCTTGGCCTGGAGGATAAGTACCGACCCTCACATTCCCGACGCGTTCCGAAAAGTGCCTGTTGAACTAGGGAAAGCCATACGGCAATACGACGACCAATCTACGAGTAACGTCACCACGTTCAACCATGAGGTCCATGTGATTTGTAATGAGATGGAAAAACAACTCAGTAGTCGCCTCAGAGAGCACAACAATATATCCGCCAACGCCCCTCATGGCATGACTCTGGCCAGCTGTGACCTATTCTACACCTTGGACGGACACCTTGGAGTCTCGGGTGAGGGGACTTCAGAAAGCGGGCTGGTTCTGAGTTTGTTAGAAGGCTTCGGGTCCCTTGCGATGATGCGAAAAAAGGATGCCGAAGCAGAGGACGAGAGTTATGAATATGTTGGCGCAGCTGATATTCTCGAACTAGACTGGGGATCGTATCAGACCGTAAATGATATCCCCATAAATGGAAGCGTCAAGAGACTTGCGATTTTATGAAATGAAAACAGACAGATAGAGAACCTAGAATGACACCTAGTCTATATCTCATAGCATCTCAAGTTTCTATTTACCGTTTGCTATCTTGAGACAAAGTTACGTCTCTAAGCATCTTACTAGGAGTGACAGATGGATGACTGACAAGTAAACAATAAATGTGATGCTTTTGGGTTCATTTGCACTCCCGCAAGTGCAATCATGGCATTTGAGTTCAACTAACAAGTCCTCAACGGGAAATTTGACATTTGGTTGGCAATATGAAATGCAGGAAAAAGTTGATTATTGTAAACTAGCTATCCAAGGATGTTTAATGAAACCGACCACTACACAATTTCCTAGATTCCCTAATATAATTCCTGCGATCCAATGATCAACCCATCTCAAGAGCGCCGAGTTTATTCCTTCCATCGCTTGCTTGTCATTAAATTACCGATTGAACCAAAAAGCGCATACCATAAAGACCATTCAAATTACTCGGTGATCCAAGCCACGTTTGACCAGGTACTCAGAAGACCTTGGGTCCAAGAGGCTGCTGGGGCTGCTTCCCATTGTCGGAGATCTCCTTGGTGTCCTCGGCTGCAATCGCCCCTTTCTCGCTGGGAATGCGATCATCGCTGGATCGAGACTCTTCGCGCTCAACCTCCTCAATAGGAGCCCGCTTTCGCCAAAACTTGTCGTCGACGAATCGGAGGATGGCCATTGAGAGACCAACGGTCAGAACGGCAATGTTGATTCCGAAACCACGGCGGTATCTGGGGGCGTCTTCGCTGCGGAAAATCTGGGCGCCGTAAATACCTGCGATGTTTGCTCCCATGATAACCCTATTTTTCAAACAGTTAGTGTTGCTCAAGCGTCAACATGAGACATCCAAGTCAACTTACATAGCCATAGCCAGAGCTCGCTCCTCAGAGTCATTGCATGTGAGCGACATCCAGGCGATGTTGAGAGGGTGACTGAAAGTGCCGAACGTCTGAGTCCAGACCACACCAAAGTATCGGACGCCGCGAAGGTCGATCTCGGTGAAGATTCGGTTGAAGACGTAACCGAGGAGATGCATGCTCATGCCAGCCATGACAGTCTCACCACGCTTGTTGCTAAGGAAGGCTGTGAGTATGAAACTTGTATAAACAATCTGCCAGTGGAACTCACAAGTGATCGGAAACATAACTGAAGCCCCAGGACACCGGAATCTGAAGAAACAGACCGACGGAGGCGAGAGCGTTGCTAGTCAGACCTTCAAACCCAAAACCCTTGACAATTGTGGGCGAGTATGTGTCAAAAGCACGCTGAGGACCGTTGTTGGAGAGTGTGATGATGACGTGGATCCAGAGGCGCCAGTTGGAGAACTACAGGACCGTGGGTTAGAATACTCCTTGGAGAACAGTATATTGAGAGGAACCGATTAGACTCACAGCTTTCTTGAATGCACCAAGTCCAATCTTCTTCTTCTTCTTTCCCTTCATGGGGTCATCAAGCAGGACACGGGTCTTGAGGATGTGCAGCTCCCTCTCGTTGAACCAGCTAAAGCCGGGCAAGAAGGTACTGCGCGGGTTCTTGAAGGAATCGGGAAGGCAGAAACCGAGGATGAAGCCGCTGAAGATGGTGAAACCGCCCATGAGAACGAACAGCCAGAACCAACCAGCCTTATCAGCGACGCCGCGCATATGAAGAATGCCGTAGGCGAGCAGCTTGGAAGAGGCCTGGCCGAACTGGTTTCCGAAGTAGAAGAACATGACACGCTTGGCGGTCTCGTTACGCGTGTACCAGGTTGAAAGCGTCCACAGACCTCCGGGGATGAAGCCAGACTCTGTGATTCCGAGCAGGAATCGGGTCGCGATGAAGGAGCCGTAGCTGTTCTGGAAAGCCTGGAAGGTAGAGACGAAGCCGAACAGGAAGAGCTGCAGAGTAAGCCACTTTCCAGGGCCAACACGGTACAGGATCATATTGGATGGGATCTCAAAGAGCACGATGCCCAGCGACAGCATCTGCTGGCCAATGTTGAACTCGTTCTGTGTGACGCCGACATCCTCCATGAACTTGTCTGTGATTGCATTGGCGATGTTGCCACGGTCGAGCTCTATGATGAACCATTATCAGCACATGTTGGCATGATTGATTTATCAACCAAAAGAATAGATCATGATGGTGAGTGCAGCCCAAATTGCCGCCACAGTGGAAATTCATTCAGGTAGAGGGCGTAGAAGGCGGGGGGATTGCCCCCTGGTGCCAGGTGAAGAAGGACCTACGAAGACAGAAAAACCCAAGTGTCAAGAGGGGCATAATAATAAAATCCAATCTGATAAGATCAGCTATCGTCAGTAAAATAATTCCGGTAGATGAGGCGGCAATCGGTTGCCGATGCGATGGGTGGCACTGACTTGCGCTTGGCCTTGGACTCTTCCTCTTTGGTCCAGTCGACCACCAGATTGAGGGCCTCTTCATCCTCCAGGGGGGGAGGATAAGCTGACACAGCCTCCGAGCGGCTCTTGAAAAATCCCATGTTGATACGATACTGCTGAGTGATCGGCTCGGCGGCAGAAGTAGTCCGAGAGAACTGGGAGGGTTTGCGGGAGTTGGAGGTGAGCCTGGAGGGAAAGGTTGGGAGGATGCGGCACCGAGCCGTCTTTTATCCCAAAAGTCCTACCTCGCAGACAGGGAGCAATATTTCGTAGGTGCCATCGGTCACACCCTCCAGTCGATGGCACTGCAAAGACAGACCCAGACCGGGAGTCGGCTTGGGGGAGGCAACACATCCGGGACTCCATTCTTGCCATCTCTTCCCGCCACTCCGGGACAAGCACGCAATCGTTCATGCCGAGCAGAACGGTTTCTAGCCATAGCGGACGTCCCGAACGCCCCAGCTTCCAAGCTCAGGGATCGAGGCCTTTGCTGCGTGTCGGCATGGTGGAGAAGTCCACAAAATAACAGCTTAAGCTTGTTTGGCTCTCCACTAAACAAGCTGCTTTTCAATGAGGTACGCGCCCACTCCTCCCAGAAGTCAATTGGCGAGAGCTGGTGTGGCACGAGGATGGCCATTATCCCCTCAAGAATGAGACATCCGGGCTGTTCAGCTGGCTGGCCACCACTTGGACCATGGGCAAAAACGATGATCATCTCGCGCCATCATGGCATCTCCAGGTGAAAAAACAGAGGCAGTACGGGGGGATCAGCAGAGAACGAGATTAGACTATGCCCTCTTCTGGGCTAGTGATTGGGACGAGCAACTCCTAGCTGTGCTGGCCTACGTACGCCATACGCATGTACTCCGGACTTTCACACAAGCCCGTGGGCAAGACGCCAGTTGCTTGTGAACAAAGTATCACTGTCATCAAGTGGATGTTGCGGACGGCAGACTGGAGCTAGCACGGATTAGTCGATGTGGTTGGCCAAACAGGAGCCGGTAAAATGGTGTCATCGCTCTCAACTTAGACGACATTGACAAATGATAGGCTGAGGATCGTTCCCAAACGCCAAGCTCCTCCACAGCCCCTGTCGGTATCTACATCCAGCGTTATCATGTAAGACGGCCTCCAACTCTTGGCCAAAAGCACCCACTCACGCTCCCAGCTTCGTTCAGAATGCTTTCAGCTGGCAAGCCCCCTTCTGTGGCTTCATGCGTGATCCAAGTTTTGGTCTGACCATCTCCAGATCGTCCCAGACCCAAACTCGAGTGGCTTGTGCAACACATCATGTTCAAAAGACTATCGAAAGAGAGGGCATGGGTGTGTCAGCCCAGTCCCTCCCCGCGAAAAAAAGAAAAGAAAAACCATCAGGCTTGGCCGCCCAATCACTGCTGGCTACCAGAGGAGGGTGTGGGAAGCGAATTCTGAGGCTGGAATTGCGGCATCCCAAGAGCTGCCCAAGAGCTAACGACTATGATGGAGAGCACAATACCACCGCTCAGTATCCAGACTGGAAGGCGTGATTAAGGGATAATGGTATAAACTTTATTTCCTTCCTAGTCCTCTCCATAAGAAATAACGTAATAACCTTATATTTAAGGTAAATACCTAGCCAGAGTAATGGAGAGCAGATGCGGTCTCCTCCGGAGGGACTGAGCCCTTGAGCTTTCCGTCGGGCAGACTTACCTGATAGGGCCGCCACCGTCAGCGTTACTCCACCACCACATTGCGCTCCGTCAAGGATGCTGGAGGTGTGTTTTTGTTTTTTCATCGGAGACAATCTGAATTCAAAGATCAGATGAGCGGCTGATCAGCCTTGGCTGGACCCATGATCTATGAAAGATCTTTTCCAAGCATGCCGAGAATAGCGTACATAACAGATGGATTCCTGCAGCTCCCACTTCCCGCCACCATCTTAGATCGGAGGGGCCGATCTCTGAGATCGTGCCCCATTATTGATTTTGGGACGGTATGGCGACATAGTCGTGAGAGTGAGACAATACAGCAACGCCGCAAAGGGGGGTGTGGCATCTCCCCCTCGAGGACTCATGACCCAGCCCGAACATCCATGGGGCTAGATTGCTGTAGAGCTGTCATTTTATTATGAATCTAGGTGAGTCCCGCCTTGGCTATCGGCCTGGTGGCTGAATATTGCCCACCAACCGCGATACTCCCTTTCACCCCCTGTCCCTCTAGGCTCCATCCTCGACATCACAGCTCAGTTGGTGTTGGCAAATTTCAGGCCATTATTTCACTATTGAAGGATCTTCACGAGATCATCGGGCTAGGAGCCAACGAGCTTAACAAGAGTAAGCCACATCACACCTCCTGGCCATCCTCGGACTGGTCTGGATGTACCTCTTCGTGCTAGTGAAAAGAGGGCGTCATATCAAAGCGTACCTACTGAGATTTGCTTTTTCTCAGCTCGATGTTCTGGGCTACCTTTGGACTCACTGGCAAACTCAGTAGGGAAGAGTGGGTACGTGAGATATCAGAGTCGTCGCAATCTAGGCTCTCTAGGATTGGGCCGCAAGGAGTCTCCGGAAATTGAATTGCAATCACGGCTGAGTCTGGCAGTTCATAATCACGCGATCGACTTAATCGAGCCGTCAACCGCTTGGGCTTCTGAGTCCAAGGCTCTCTCCTTCAATGTGGCTCAGTTAATCCTCAGCCTCCACCACCTGCAGTGTCTCACCCGTTTTTGAAACAAACCCGAGTTCACATCTGTGAAGAAGGCATTTTCCAGTGTAAATCTTTCGTGATAATGAGCATACTAGGCCAACATACGCCATGTTTTAAGTGCTTTGTTCGTGGTTTTCGCACTGACACTCGAAATGCATCAACGTTGCTGGTATGTCTCTAGACGGAACTAACACAATAGTTCATCTCAATATGAATTGATTACTAAATGCTTAAATTTGCTAATACCTCCCAGGAGTATTACTGGAAACAAACCTGTACGCAGACCGACGCGCTTTTACGAGAATATGTCAAGCCAGAATGTCTACCCTGTTTGTTCCATAGATGCTACGCACAAAGTTTGGGAAGCACGACTAGCCCTACTATTGAATACGAAAAACGAGTGCAGACCATCGGACAACGATTCCCACGGACGAACATATACCGCTACCTGAGGGCTGTTACGCACTGTGCATCGCGGCAATAGCTGGTACCTTCTAATCGTTTTTTAATCTACTGACGGCCAAGCGATGGCAGCTATCATATATATCACCCATAACACTAATACACCAGCAAGCATCGATCTCTTTCAGTCAAGGTAAACTGGATGTTATACTGCGTTGGCCAGCACGCCGTCTACCAATCCCACGCCGACTGCGGCCGAAGCCAAAGGAACAAGATGTAAAGCAGTACATTGATACACACAAGTCTAGCAGACATTCTGCTTCGCATCACCAGTGATTGACCACGACATGTTATCAGCGCAAGGCGACTCGCGAACGGTAGTGCCGCTAATCTTGGCAGTGATGGAGATGTCGCTCGTGTTGGGGAACTCGTCACGGGCAGAGATGCGCACCTCACCGCCACCATCGACAGTACCACCCTTGATCTTGAGGTTGTAGCAGTTCTCGATCAGGATCGCATTGTTGCCATTGTCGGCAAGATCAATGCTGCCAATCTCGGCGGCGCCAGACTGAGACACGCAGAAGATGCCGCGGCCGCCACCCCGGGAGATGACCTTGTCGATGAACACGTTGGTGGTGTCGTGGGAGCCGTTGAGCTCCCCGTTGTTGTTGGCGAATCGCAGCGTCGCGTATCCGGTGCCCGAGCCGGCATTGTCACCTTGGACGGTGCCGACCTTGGCGTTGGTGGTCTTTTGCAGGAGCAGACCGCATTCGCCGACGTTCTTGGCAACTACTGAGTCGATCGTCAGGCCGTCGATGTTCCAGGTCTCGATGGCGTGGCTGCTGGCGCCGGTGACAGTGACCGAGTTCATGGCCACGTTTGAGTTGGCGGCCTTGTCGCGATCGAATCGGATGCCAATCCCGGCGGTCAGGTCCATGACGATCGTGCCGAGGTTGAGATTCTTGGTGCCGTAGAACCGGAGGCCAAAGTAGGGGCTGCCGGTCAGTGTAAGGTATGGGATGGAGACGTCGGACGCGTCAAGGACTTCGATGGCGCCACGGCCATTCTTGTTGGTGGCATCGATGGTGCCGCAGCCGTAGAAGGTCTTGCCGCTAGTGACGGAGATAGTGCTGGCGCCAATGGAGCCCGAGGCAAGGACGCCGATGCTCTGACCCGAAGAGATTCCGTCCAGGGCCGTCTGGATAGCAGTGAGGTAGTTGGAGCCGGAGTAGACGGACTTGGAGCCGACTGTGGCAGTGTAGGTGCCTGAGCCCTCGACAGTGGCGTCAAAGCTACCAGAACTGCACTGCGCATTGGCGACCGAGGTCAGGGCAAGTGCCGTAGAGAGGATGGAGATGAACGGAAACATGACTGCGTTGTCTCAGCGCCTGCGCTGTTGGGAACTATAGATATGGAGATGACGTAGAGTAACGAATGCACCGCACCCGCCCTAAATAAGTTGAAGAGGTGGATTGAAAGAAAGCTTGGTCAGTTTCCATAGCTAAAGAGCGAGCCTGAAGATATCATGTTTATAGCATTCACAGCGGTACAGTGGGGGTGGGACTGGTTCCGTGAAAGGCATGGCATGTCCATTTGGGCAATCTGAAACTGGTCTGTTGCAGAAGTCGATCGACGTTTGCGGAGGGAGAGGTTCCGCGAAACACTACGAGTCTCGACAGCACCCTTAAAATTAACCTTAGTGGCCGGCATGGCGATACGAGATGTCATATGCCGCCAAGGGGTAACAACCTTATTTCCGCGAAAGTTTCCCTGTTCCATGATTGCTGCTCTTGAACAGCCAGCAGTGATTTCACAGTTGCCGGGGCTGACAGGGGATATGTGCGGGTCCTCCAGCCAATTTTTCCACAGCCTCAGGGGCTCCGGGCCATCACTCCGCCTGAGAAACATCAAGCAGCATCCCCGGACCCCTGGATAGAGTTGCAATCCCGGGGGCAGTATAAGAATGCGGTGACAGAGGTCATGTAGGGAACTAACAGGGCGACCCAAGTGATCC